TTCTTGCCAGTCATGGAATAACTCTGTACTTGATACAGACAACCAGCCACCAAGTTAGTCCCCAGACCTGTGTGGCCATGCCTCGTATAACCACCGTTCACTTCCCTTCCCATTTTGCTGCTTGTTCTGCTCATATCCAAGGTGTGGTTCGATCTGGGCACCAGGCTGAAATGCAGTTGTCAGAGCATTTTGCTTTATGAGGACAAGCTGTTCAGAATCACACCGTGCTGATGGCCACCCTCACACCTGTGGTCTTTTTGCCACAAGAAAGCTGAGCTATTTCTTTTTCTTCCTCCCCCCAGCCCCCCTTACTAATTCATTCTCCTCTCTCCTCTCAGAATCTGCCAAATTTCTCCTGAATTTAATAACTCCTTCTATGCCCACTAGCTAATCCCAGTACTGTTTCCCTCCTTTAAACCATAAATTACCTTTCCAGTCAGTCAGTAAATAGATATAACTCTTTTTAATTTTTAATTCCAATCCTCTAGGTATGTCAGCTGAGTATTAGAAAGAAATTAAGCTGATGACCTAACACACCAACTAAATGTAGTTGGTAATCAGAAATCCAAATAAATCTCCAATTATGATATAATGGACTGATGTGGAACATTTTCAGATGGTAACAACTACTATACTTGAGAGTACAGTAAGTTCTGACTCCCACAGTTGGTTCTGCTTCTTCCAGAATGACACACAGACTCTCCCGTGTTGTCTGTGGGTGTCTAGGGGCCGTGGGGCGAGGTTGGGCAGGCCGGGCCGATGAGCACAGGCTGTTGGTAACTGAGACACCACCTGCCTGGTTTCTCTGCGGTATTTTCTCGCTGCTGACTCCCTGAAGTTCGCTGGTGCACCTGATTGTAGTCTTTGCCAGTGGGATTAAAGTATCCCATCTGCCAATAAGATTCCGAATGCCCTTACTGAAGAAATGGAAACTGTATTATTTGTTTTACTACTACCAGTAGTACAGCTCTCTCTCTGACCACCAGCATTTCTTACCTCCTATTTTATAAATGCAAGAGAAAAGCAATCGCTGTTAGGGCCTCTGAATTTACTTTCTCATTTTCCTGAAAATTCTGGAGTTAAAATATGATTTCCAGTTTTATAGTCTTAAAAAGGCTGATCTTGTACTGCAGTTTGCTTTGGAGACTTTGCTTAAATCAAATCTTAGTAAATAATGTTTTCACTTGGTATTAAAAATCCTTAGACAAATACCCAATTATGTGATCATAAACCAGACAGTACAGTGTGTGCCGGCTCAGCCTGTTTTGTTCTGTGAAGTGCAAGGCTGATGCATCGGACCTCTTTCTCTGCCGCCCTGCTGCTACCCTCCCTGGTTTTTTTGAAGACTGTGCTTCCTGGGTCCATAGGCTTCACGGCCCGTAGGGCCAGCATCCAGATAATCTGCCCGAGGGACGGAGAAGTGAGGATGCGTCTTCAGAGATGCGCATTCCCAGTAGATCTATGCTTCTGTGAACCCCCTTCCTTCTTCTTGGACCCCCAAGTTTCCTGAACTGAAATCGGGGGTGGCGGGCTCTAGGACAGGCAGTAGGAATAGCTGATGCACATAGGACTTCCTTGGGTTTTTAATGATCAAAATGTATCACAAGTCTTTTCAGAGCCTGACCAAAACTCTATATAAAAATACCCAACTGTTTTCTTTTAGTGATAATTCTTCAAATGGATGAAACTAAGGGATTCATTGTATTAGGAAGCATGAGACAGTTTTATGAATGAGAGGTTCTAGGCTTTACCAAATCCCTGATCAAGACATGGAAGCCCACATGCTATTTTTTGTTTAAAAGCTATAAGCCAAGCTAACAAAATGCTAAATTGGTTTTCAGTTTTCTTCTTTGACAAAATATCTTTGTAGTAACCAAGGTGTCTGAAGTTTCAGTTGAGAATTCTGACTGCTCAGAGTTCTGTGCTTGAACTAGGCTCACCCCCATCTCATACCGAGATGTGCTGCTCAGCCCCTTCTATCCCCACCCATTGGCTCTCTCCTGCACCCCAAGGGATCTTGCACACGTGTTTCAGTATGCCCACACCCACTCAGACTTTGAGGTGTGCACATTGGTGCTGCTTTTGATCCTCACAGGCTAGGTCCCAGACAGACACGTGGGCTAACCTTGTATGTGGACTTGGGGCCATTTGAGTGGGTGATTCTAGGATCTGGAGGCTTAGTTCAGAAGGACAGACATGGGCTTCAGGTGGGCATGAGGTCTGGGTGGGCGCACCCTCTTGATTGTGGGGAAGGGAAGACTACATGCTATATGAGGGGGTGGGGCCATACCAGGGCCAGGGCAGAGCCCTTTAAACCACAAGTGGAGGGTTTGAGGGCTGTACTGAGACAGTCTTTTCACAGCACCTTCTGTAGAACATGTTCTGATTAACTGTCTTTATGAACACATTTTACAATTTAATGTTTGTCAAATTTTATTTTATATACAGACCCTTTATACCCATGCAGTTTTTTAGGAAATCACAGCCAGTGCTGGGAGGGAGACAGAAAGTCCCTGTAATGTGGATGCATTCTGTCTCCAGAGCATCTGTGTGGATGGCATTTATTCCTGTCTTCAGTAATTGTCTCAGAACCTGTTCCGAGTTGATGCCCCTCCTTCCACACAGACACGCACACACACACATGCCCCCTGCCTCTCCACTGCGGCCTGGGAAAACCTGGGCCTGAATGTGACAGGTAAGTCCCTGCTTGGCTGCTGGTTACAGCTACAGTATGTTCCCCAGGTCAGGAGCTGCCCGGTTGCCCCCCTGCACCCACTGTTTAGAATGCCTGATGTGGCTTTGAATTTCAACGTGGGGCAAGCTGCCTGTCAGCGGTGACTAGTTATATATGACAGGTCTCTCCTAGATTAGCTGCACTTTCATTTCCAAATCCCTGCCTGTCTCTTTAAGTTGCCCTGTTGAGTCTCCTCGAAGAATTTCTTAGTTCACATAGCTCATATTTCAAATCAGACCATTTCAGTTTTGATTAGAACCCATCTAATTTGTTTCAAAGGATGTGGTGGAGGCACAGAGGACCTACTCTGTTTTATAGAGTACAGAGAAAAGCCCCACACATTTCCTTTGTGGTCTCAGACTCTCATTCCCATCCATAACCACCAGTGCGGAGTGATCCCCACTGCTCCGTAATCGGAACGTCGTGAACGCGTGTTCATTTCAGAATAGTGGCTGCTATACCATACGGAAGGACACCTCTGCTCATTGTACCCTGCAGGGCACCTTATACAACGACGCCATTTAATCAACACTATTTATTTCTGGATTCTCTCCCTCTAATCCTGCATTCTCTGAGACTTGCAGGATTCCCAGATAGGGAAGAAGAATTTCCAGTAACTCTGTTGTTGGAAGAGGAGCCTATTCTGTTAAGTATGAAACTACTATAGAGAACCAATTTAATAACCCAAATCTCGTATCTAAAGATAAGAACAGAGAGTTCTCTTCACAAAGCTACTATTTTATGTTTTAAATTCACACCGGGTTTTGTTTAGAATACTGTGGACTATGACACAGGATAGGCTGCTGGAACAAGACACCCTGGGATACAGTGGCTTAGTCAAGGTTGTCACATAGTAGTCCAGTGGACAGTCCAGTCCAGGGCTGGGATAGTGGCTCTGACCTGCCAGGGCCGCAGGCCCTGCCGGCATCACGTGTTCTCCTGTCCTGAGGCCCAAAGCAACCGCTGCAGCTGAGACCCCATGCCATCGGGAGGGAAGAAGAGAGGGGAAACGTGGTCAGTCCTTTGCCGGAAGAATGATGGAAGTTCTGTCTCCACCGAAGAAGGGTAAGAACAGATGCTGGGGGCATGAGTCGTCTCTGTGTCAGGTTGCAACTTCATTGTGCTCCATTCTGACTGGCCGTCCAGCTAAACATGAGGCACAGAGAGGTGTGCTTTGAGCAGAGCTAGGGGAATTAGCATCCTTCAACTTTAGAGATCTAACCTATGCAAAATACTTTGAGATCTCATTGTGTAACAACAGGTAATTTAGGTGCTAGACACTGTGCTGAATGCTTTACATGGATTGTCTCATTTGCTACTCAGGATAATCCGAAGAACAAGGTATTATCATCCCCTCCCCCATTCCACAGATGCAGACAGTGAGGCACAGAGGGGCGGAGAAAGCTGCCTGCAGGCCCGGAACTGATAAGCAGTCCAGCGGACAGTTGGCTGCCCCCCCAAACCACTCCCGCCCATCCACCACATGGAGTAGTAGGCTGCCTTTTGAAATTGGATAGGAGGAAATACTACCTAAACAGTAATATCTTGAGTTTAAACAAAATTTTTCAAAAGAAAACATGAAACATACTATAAAACACTTGCTTCTTTCTAGGTTTAAGCCTTAAGTATTGTTTTATTTTTACAGTCAGGATGGAAAATTATAAGGAGATAGTCCAGGTTTATACTGAATAAATGAAACCCAGCTTTATTTAAAATGTTAATTTAAACCCAAAACAAGAGTAAATGAAACATTCCATCTAAATGTGATACATTATTCCTAGCAAATAAATCTGAGGCCTTATACTTTTGGACATCAAGAATTGTTCATAAGTTACTTAGCTATCTTCGTCTAACACTTCAGACCCCTTTTTAATAAAGAAGACTTGAAACACATCCATCCTAGTATTCGGGGCTCAGTTTCACCCTCAGACTAAATTATAGGTGATTTTTTTTTCCCTTTAGATGCTTTAAATTACATTTACATCATCACATTTATTAAATAAGATGACTCTAAAGTGTTAAAATAATAGTATCTTACTCCCTAGATGTGTTACTTTGCTTGAGCCGACATTAAAATAAATAAATCAATAAACCCACCGACTGGATGGGTGGAGAACGGAAATTTATGCTTGGGTCCTCACAGTTTCGGAGGCAGGAAGTCCCAGATCAAGACCTGGGTGGGCGTGGCTTCCTTGGAGGCCTCGTCCTTGACCATGCAGATGGCTGCCTTCTTGCTGCCTTTTCAGCGGTCGGTCATCTCTCTGTCTCCTGATGGCCCCTTCCTGTAAGGGCTCTGGTTAGATACACTTAGGGCCTCCCCAGCAGCCTTCATTTAACTTGATCACCTCTGGAAAGGCCCTGTCTCCGAGTATTTATGTTCTCAGGTGCTGGGGGTTAGGACTTCCACCTATGAATTTGGGAGGCCAAAATTCAGTCCATAACACAGACCTGCATAGACACATTGAGGCTGTGGCAGCAAACGATTTGTGACAGTGAGAGAAGTTCAGCATTTGAATGCCCTGCCTTCCTTTCACTTTGGGCAAAACAGAGTATGGCACAGGTGGGAGGTCTCAGTGACCATAAACCTCTTAAGTTTTTTTTAGTGACCTTGTTAACTTTAAAAAGCAAATTATTTAAAAGACCATCTTGAACTTACCATTGCTTACATTTCCACCCACTGGGCAAGAGGAAAATTGATGTCATATTAGCAAATGTTTTGCTGAAAAGATCAACTGTGATCGAGTGAACTAAACAGATATGACAGGCAGGTATTACAGTCACTCATAACAATACCAGGCTTCTTACCAGAGAATAACTGTTAGCCACAGAAGGGCTGGAAAAATAAAGGTCAGTGTTCAGCACAGATGAATCTCTTTTCTCAACCTGCGTCTGTAGAGGATGTAAAGTTCATGGTGGCAAAAGAAAACATTTTGCCTCTTTCCGATTATGGGAGAGGATTACTGCGTCACTGGAAAAGGTTTGAAATATTCTGAACATACCTTCAAGGGAATTTATTCCATCCATCTCCCAGAAATATTCTGAATGATACTATTTTTAGCTTCTTGGCCACTATATTTCTTTTATTATAAATCTCTTTGGCAAATGGGAAGAGGAAAGGGCCATTGTAGACTTAATGGCTTGTGGGGTAAACCTGGAAAATAAAATGAGGGGAAATCATAAAAGCCAAAGAACCATCATGCAGGTTTCAAAAAATAACCTTTAGACCTGTGACATTTCTACAAGTTGCTCTTTTTGAGCTTGGCATGAAATCTATTCAAAAACCTTGGCAAATGCAAAAGGAGCAATTTTGTGTATTTAAAAATACTGTAGCGCTATGAGGACAGACTGCCTAATGAACATTTCTGGCTATCTGGTTACTACAGCACTAGAAGCATCTGACATCAACACAGAACAGATGGGCCTTTTCCTTTAAAGAATGAGTAGTAGAGATCTACAATAATATTACTGTATCATATTATATATACTATAAATTATACAATCTGGCTAATATTGACCAAGCAGACCATGACCATGAGATTGCTAAGAATAGATTAATAATCATACAGAAGCCTCCCAAGTGCTATGTAAGCGCGTACCTTGAGAGCATTGGACAAAGCTCCCATGTGGCCCCTGCCTCGCTTGCTTATCTAGCTTCCAGGTCTTCTGTCTTTGTTCACCTTTCACTCAGCTCCAGTCATCCTGGACGTGCGGTTAGCTCAAGGGGCCTTCATGTTCATCATCTCAGGACCTTTAAGCATGTCTTGGCCCGAAATACAAATCCCCCTTCACCACCTGCGTAGAATTAAAATTCCCTTGGAAAATCCCTTGGATACCAATCCAGAGTTTCTCAGTAAGTTTAATACTATCAGTTTGACTAGATTGCTGCTGCTGTGTTTGAATACCAGATAAAATAGTTGGTTTGTTTTTCAGGCAGCTTGTTTTGGAAATCACCGTAAACACCACATTTATCTTTAGAAAATGAAACAAAGTAAAGGAAGAGAAGATTTGCACTTCTCACCTCCTGATCTCCCATGTTCATGCTCATATAGTGGGTCACGCACTGTGTAAATCATCCTCTCTCCCCTCCCTCGTTCCATATTATTGAATTTACGTGTAATAAATACCTAAAGCCAAATACGTATAAAATAAATCCTCCGTGTGGTGCTGCCCTGAACCGAGTAAAACTGAACTCACACTTAGTTTCTCCAGGTAGGCCATGACATGGTCGGCCGAGGGCCTCTTCCCTGCCCACACTCACATGCACAGCACACGCCCAAAGCACCCAGAGCGTTCCCTGGATAGGTAACTAAGGAATGAACGAACAGGACGCATTTCATACTTACCATACTTTTCTTTGTAAAAATAACTGAATTTTGTCCCTGTACATATAAAAAATTGTATAACTGATCTCAGCTGTTATTTTCAGGATAACCAAAAGGTTGAACTTACTCTATAGTTTTTCTTTGTGAGTTAATAGGCCGTTCTTGCTTTTCTCTTTTGGGCCCAAATTCTTTAATCAATTATGTGATTTCTTTTTACTGATTTTTTTCAATCAATTGATGGATTTGATTTCATTTGGCATCAGAGACTCCTTTGATTGAAATATGATTTATTGTGGAAAATCATATGGAGTATCCTCAAAAAATTAAAAGTAGAACTCCTTTTTGACCTAGCAGTTCCACTTCTGAGAACATATCATAAGGATCCCAAATACAAAACACCAATTCAAAAAACCTATGCAGCCCCATGTCCATAGCAGCACTGTGATAGCCAAGACGTGGAAACAGCCTGAGTGCCCATCAGCAGATGAGTGGATAAAAAACTGGTACATTTACACAATGGAATACTATGCAGCAGTAACAAAGAAAAACTCTTAACATTTTGCAACAGTGTGGATGGGCCTGGAGAATATTATGCTAAGTGAAATAAGCCAGTCAGTAAAAAACGAATTCTATATGATCTCACTTACATGTGGAATCTAATGAACATAATACACTAACGAATAGAATAGAAACAAAAGAATAAATATATAGAACAGACTGTTCAGAGGGGTGAAGAGGGGACTGGATGAAAGATGGTGAAGGGATTAACTGAAGAACATTCCCGCATGACCCACAGACACAAACCACAATATGGGGACTGACAGATGGAAGGGAGTGAGTGGGGCTGGGTGGAGGTGGGGAAGGGGAGAAAAGGCAGGAACAATGGTAATTGCATAAACAATTATTGAGAAAGATAAAAAAGAAAGAAGACTTATTGGGTGTTATATAGCTCCCCCGACCAGTAATAGTAGACCTAAGAATGTGGTGTTTTTCCCTGTGCCTGTCCTCATTTCCGCCTGCATGGAAACAAGCTCTAATATTGTTTTACACACCTGTAAAAAATTAACAATGTCCTCCAACCCTATGTGACTTTCCAAATACTATCTCATTATCACAACACACCTTTTCAAAATAGTCACAGGAAGTGTCTCCACTCCTCACCGCTCATTCTCTCTTCCGAGAGAATTTTTTGATTTCTGTACCATGGTACTTACCTGTCCCTCACCACACCTTAAACATCTGTGTAGACTTCTCATCCATCTTGATTTTCTTCTGGACCTCTGACTGCGAAACTGACCTAGGCTCCATTCTGCTTACTCTTTTTATCTCTATCTCTGCTACCTCTGCATTATATTTAGTGCCACAGATTTTAATTCCACCGGCATGCCAATACCTTCTGTTTGTCTGTCTGCCGACCTGCTTCTGGTGCTGACCTGCCCCTCATGGCTCTGAATTATGCGTGGCTGTTTGGGAAGAACCTCAGACTTCCAAAAGGGAACTCATGATGTCCACCACCACCAGAGAGTTCCCGTCTTAGAAAGTGACACTATCCTGGAGGTTCCTAAGCCTCTCCTCATCTTTTTGAATTCTTGCTTCTTCACTCTTTTCTGTTTGGCCATTATTACTTTCTTCTGGTCCACTCCATTGATTTGAGTCCCAGTTTCCTTTTCATCGTTATTGGTTTCCTGTGCAATTCTGTTCATTTCAATTTGTTTCACTTTCATATGTTTCTGTAATTTGTGGCTATAATCATCCAGTTCTGTGAGGATCCTGATCACCAGTGTTTTAAAGTGTGTGTCTGAGAGTTTTGCTATTTCTTCATCGCTTAGATTTATAGGCTCTGGGGCTTTGAGATAAAAATAAATAAATTTAAAAAAAAAAGAAAGTGACACTATCATTCAACGAGTTATCCTAACTAAAACCCTAAAGTCACGGATTTCTTCTATTTTTTGGAGCCACTTCAACATCTAGTAGAGCAAATACTGTAAGCTCCTCTTCAACATTTAATCAGTGCCCACCGCCTCCCTTATCGTGCTGCTACTTCCCTGACCTAAGACGCTATTTATCTCTTCTTAGGTAGGAAGGTAGCTTTCCAAATCTTCCCCCTGCTTTCACTCCTAGTTCCTAACATTCATTCTCTGCGCAATAACTAGAAGAGCCCTTCAAAAATGTAGATCGGATCATGACCCTTCCTTGTGGCTTCGCATCACACTCAGTGCAAAATCCAGGCTGTTCACTGGCAGGTCGGTACCACCCAGCCCTTCGGCCTCTTCCCCTCCATCTTCTTGTCCACCTGGTGTTGCCCTTTCACAGCTTTCTCAGAAAGGCCAAGGAAGGACAGCCATTCCTCGGGGTCTTGCACTTGCTTCTTCAGCCTGGAACATCCATCCTTTTAGATTTTTGCATGGTTCCCTCCTTTTTTACATTCTCAGAAGTGACTTTCCCTACCCAGATGATCAAAAGTAATTCACTGAGACAGTCTCTTCAGCTTTTTTTTCCATCATGGTTACAAATATCTAAAATTACCATGTTAACTTACTTGCTCTAAGTTGTTTATCATATGTGCTATCCTGTCTTATTACTGCTGTGGCTGCAACACCTGGAATGATGCCCAGTAGATTATAGGCACTTGGTGCTCAGTGAGTATTTACAGAATGAATTAGTAAGTCGGCAGGATGTTCCTAAACGTAACACGCATCTCTAAATATGAAAAGAGTGCAAGTTCATATGTGAATATGACACCTTGGGATATTCTGTGAGAGAGTTTAACTACAAATATGGATTTTACTCAATTTTATGTTTGTAAACAGAATATTAAAATATACTAATTTTCTAATTTTGTTACATGTATAATACTTGGGACAGCATTTTAAGTCAAAGATTTCATTTCAAAATTTGATAGTAGAGTTCATGTTTTTATCAGGTTAAAGATTCTTTCATGGATACAAAAATTATTAATGGTAGCACTGGTAAGTATAATAGCATTTTCTAATAGTTAATGGTTTAATGTAATAATATTAAAAATAATACATGTATGTAACATATTTATGCTATATTATAGTACACGCAGAGACAGTTACAGTGATTATATGCATTTGTACTTGTATAGGATATGATTTTTAACAGAGGTTTCACATGAATTTATAAGCCCATATGAGAACTCATACATGAAACTACCTGTGCAGCTAAACCATTGTCATATCTGTAAAACAATAAGATCAGATTTTATGTTTTCCTAAACTGCAATACGGTGTAGTGACCACAAGACCGAGATTCAGAAAATCAGGTTTCCGACACAGCAGCTGCTCCTGTGACTGAGCTGAGGCGGGGCCAGCGGTCGCCTTCCCTGGAACGGGCTACGCCTGGGCCAGGGCCTTCGTCTGTTGCGTTCATTGCCGTGTCTGCAACGTGTAGAAAAGGCGGGGCCGGCGTGAGTGCTGAAAAGTATGTGATGTGTGTGTTATGCTACGCCAGGTTTAGTTTCCACATCCCCAAAACTGTTCCTTCCAACCCGTTCGTTCTGAGTAATATTAGAGCCCTCGTGAATTTAAATGAGGTAGATTCATAGCTGGAACTACTTACTCAGCTTTTACCTGGGACTTCATAAGGTTTTGTTCTTCACAGCTCATTCCATTGAATATTATTAACATAAATAAGGTAAGAGGTAAATTGATCCACGTTTACCGCCTTCGGAAGGACTAAAACAAAAACTTAAGTATAATTCAGATTCACAAAATTAAATAAGTACTGGCCGACAGTGACCAGAGGGGTGGGGGAATGAGGGAGGAAAGAAGGGGAAGGGCTTTGTTAAAGACCATGTGTGAACGACCCACGGACACGGACAACGGGGTGGGGACCGCCCGGGGGTGGGGGTGGGGCAGGGGAGAGCAACGGGGAGAATTGGCACAACTGTAATATATCAACAGTTTTTTAAAAAGTCTAGAAGGAAGTTCAATAACCAACCTCTCAAATGATTTTTTTAATGTAGCTTTTATATTTTAAAAGCTATTAAGGTTTAAAACTGCTCTAAAATTTTGGGAACACTGTGTAGATATACCCTTCTTTGAGAAAACTTGATATTACAATTTAAAAAAACAAATTAATGGATTCTTCACTTTAAAGTTTCTCTTTCCATAAATTGAATACGGGAAGGATGGCAGCCATGTGAAACGTGCGTTGGGAAATGCAGAGAAAGCAGGTCTTGACGGCCACCCTCCCCCACCCCCACCCCGGGACGCCGGGAGTGCACGGAGCCCGGAGACCTGGGGCGGAGCCGCACCCACACTGTGAAGACCGCAGGCCCCGCCTGGAGCCCCGCGTGCTGCCCACAAGGCACAAGCCCCTCCCCACGGAGGCAGCCTCCCCAGGGGGTGTGTCGGCCCATTTCCTGTGGCTTCATGCTTCTTATGTCCCGGTGTTTAAGGAGATCCTGACTCCTCAATAACCCATCGCTGCTCTTACCCCGTCACTCTCTAGCCCCCTTATCCCGCCTATTTTTTTCCATTGCACTTACTACCAATCATATTGTTTATTTGTTCATTGTGTTTCTTGTGTACACACACACTAGAAGTAAGCTCCAGGATAGCAAGAATTGTGTCGTTTATCAGTGTATCCGAGGCACCGAGCACAGTTGTGACACACACCAGGGTCTTGGAGAGTCCTGGCTGGCTGCCTGGCTGGGTGACAAAGTGAATGGAGCACACTCTGACCTGAATCTCCTCAATTGTGGATCCTCTTAACTGTTTCTCCTCCAGTTTCCACCACCGCCTCATCGTTTAGTTTTAAAATTTGCCCACATTTTTTTCTAGCCATGATCCTCAAGGAATGTGTTGTTCCACCCTGGCTTCATTGTCACAATTCTTCTTGGCTCACATAGGTGATAAACCCCTGGGGCTTGCTGCCCCTACCCCTCGGGTGGGATCTAGCCAGTATGTGTGTGTGAATGACAGGCTGCTCTGCCACAGTGACTTCATAAAGTACCCGCGCCTCAGAAGGACGCACAGTAGATAAATAAACATGAGGCCTGCCCAGAAGGCATGCAGCCATGTAATATGAAAAATAAAGGCATTTATTGAAGAACACACAAGAGACACAATGACACACTGAGGTGTCACTGTCCTATGCATAGGACAGTGACACCTATACATAGGACAGGGACACCTCAGGCCCCTTCAAAATAGGCACCTTGGGACCTCACACAGTTCTCCCAGTTGCCTTCAGCTGCTCCATTGTATTTTCCTGGATCTCAGGAAAGCTTAATGCAAATGTTCAAGCTTAATGCAAAATTTGATGCAGATTTGTTCCTCAGTTCGCTGTCATTTTGAATTTGACAACCACACAGTACACATGCTCACTCAACAACATCTACTGCCAGTACAGTGAAGTTGTCATTGTTCACACATGCACATTCCAGGCTACTCTCCTTGGCTGCCAAATTGTATCAACGTCTCACAAACCATTCTCATTATATTAACAATGGCTGGACTTTTTCCAGAGAGACCTTGTATGTACCAAAAATTAATAACACTCAGAATGGCGATAAATGAAACCCCTGCCTTTGTGAAGTGTACACATTCTACATTTACAAGTCAGATGGGCAAGACAAGACCAGAAAGAGACAATGTAGAACATTCCTGTTCCTTCCATTGGTAATGGGTACATCCCTATGAAGGTTGGTAGGAGGACAAACTGCTTCAGTGTCTCTAAGGAACAACTTAGAAAAAGATACTAAGATTAAACAGATCCCCTACCCTTTCACTAGCATTTCAACTTCCAGAAATTTATAAAAACTTCTTTAACAGCTGAAAACATCTGAAATGGTCATCAGTAACAAGATGGCTTAATTATGATACCGTATAACCAAGCAATGGAGCAGTGCAATAATTTTAAAAATGAGCATGTTTTTATGATAATTATATTAAGTGGAATGGAGAAAATTTTCACATTAGTGTTTGTGGTGTGATCCTGTTACTGAGTTTACACCACTGTTCTATGTATTGGGGATAACAGTAAGCAATATTCCTGTGTCCCTGTTCTCCTAGAAATAAGTTGTAACTGCAGAAGCAGACAACAAGCAAACAGAGGATTCATGTCAGGGGGAACAATACTGTGCAGAAATATAAAGCACGGCAAGAGGATAAAGATTAATGAGAGCTGGAAAAAGCCTCTCTATGGAGGTGGCCTGGGAACGGAGACCTGAATTAAATGAGGGAGCAAGGCGAGAGAATCAGAAGGGACAGCCACCAGGGACACAGGGCCCGAAGCACATGCTTGGAGTTTACGAGAGAATTCAAGGGTCGGTGTGACTGGACAGCAATGGGCATGTGGGGGGCTGAGGTCTGAAAGGTAGCCATGGGTCTCATATGGCATTTCACAGGTCGCTGTAACAATTCTGGGTTTCCTTTTAACTCTGATGATAAACCATCACAAGTGTTTGAGCAAAGAAGTATCCCGTTCAGACACATTTTTAAGGAATCACCAGGACTCTTCTGTAGAGAGTATTCAGCGTGGGGTCACAATCGCATAACCAGTCTAGACCTTCTGCCAGACAACTTACAAAGGGTTGTAATGAACTGAAAGCAGAGGAAAACAGTCCTTCGTGTGGTTTATTTCACTGTTTTAGGCACCTGCTTCACGGGGATTTTTATGAAAATTGAAAAGTGTGTGTGTATTTATATACTGTATATGTAGTATATGTATAAGAGGGGGGGACCCAAAAAACAGAATTCATTTATAAAAAATTGTGTATTATTACATGTTTAAACTCTCCATTTGATGCAATACACCTATTGAGACAGTTTTTCCACTGCTCAAAACAGTTTTTGAACTTGTTGATTTTGATATCTTTTAAGTGTTTCTGCCATTTTTTTTGTTTCACTTGTTGCACGTTGGCAAAATGTTTCTTTCTGAGGACGTTTTTCATCCAGGCAAACAAAAAAAGTTGCTTGAAATAAGATAGGGTGAATCAGGAGGGTGGGGGATGGGGATCCTGTCATTTTTGGTCAAAAACTACTGAACAGTCAGTGCATTTGTTCAGGTGCACTCACAGATCACCCATCATGAAATGAGCAAATGAGTTGAAAGAGTCTTCAAAAAAAATTCACTGAAGCTGAACTTGGCCTCTCACAATAATGCCAGCTGGTACACTGATACAGATGGGTCCCTAGAACACTCCCCTGGTAGGGAACCCTGTACTACAAGGGGCCTGCCCTCCAGAAGATGATTCTAAACTTTTGGGGGTCCCCTTTCATGTAGTTATGTATATAGAGCATTTTTCATATATTATTAACAGACATTAAGTAATGCTTTATGAAAAATTGAAACCACAAGTGCTGATAGAACATACAGATGAAAAAGACATGGCAGGTATTAAGTCTAGTAGTTTTTCTAACCTTTTGATATTGCTGTGATCAAATAAATGTGTTAGAATTGCATTTTGTGCTATGAATAGAATGCTGGTTAATGGGGCTCAGGGAAGTTGCTCAGAACTTAGAATTTATCAAGAAAATGATCAGCCAGTATAATTCACAGTGCATATAGAGAGTCAGAAGACCATGGAATAAGTTCAAAACTGTGTACTTAAGACAATACCTATTCTACCTACCTAGGTAACATACACGCCGATAAATGGGATAATGTATGTTAAAGTGCTGTGAAAATCATTAAGGACCAGAGTTTCTCTCCACGAGGCTTGCTGATACATGGCAGTACCAAGGCTGTTATTTTTCATGCCTGGTTCCAAGTGCTTCTCCTTTAAAGGAGAGGGCGCACGCATTGAGGTTGCTCCCACACACTTGCCTCATTCCCGGGTAGGTTGTCCAGCATTATCCTTCCACATAGCAGTTCAGTGCCAGATCAGTTTTTCCCCCGAAGGTCCAGACCTCAGCAGCAGTAATGCAGTGACTTCCTTTTGGCCCACGGGGAGTCAGGCGGCCTCTGGGACGGAGCAGTGGCCTGCCACGGCTGCCACCCTCCCTGGCCAAAGCATACTTGGGCAAATGATTTTACTAATCAGATTATTCTTTCAGACGTTACTTTTCTGAGTTAACTTTTAACTATGTGCATAATTAACTCTTGTATTTGCAGAGTCAATATTCAGGAAACTGTCTCAGCAGAACTTAGAGTTTGTTTCCCTCTCTCCTGCCAGAGTCCGGCCACAAGAAGTTAAAAAGCACCATACAGAGAAGCACAGAGACAGGAATGGCGGCCGAAATGAGGAAGATGGTGAGGCAGCCCAGTCGTGAGTCCACGGACGGCAGCATCAACAGTTACAGCTCCGAGGGCAAGTAAGTGACGTGGTGTGTCTGTCTGTATGGCCTTAGAACCACGGGTCAGTAGTCATACGTGAAATAGCAGGGCCACCAAAGGTTAGTGTGCAGCTTCCTTATTCAACGAGCCAGTCACAGACATAACCTCCGCACCTGCCGGTCACTCAGAATGGTCACGGGGGTGATGAAATGTTGGTTAACATGAGTAAACTGACCTCTACCATCCAGAAGCGCTCAGAATGGCCCACTGATAGATGTATATGTCACATTTAACGGATGCTTTCATGTGGGTTATGCATTGTCTGGCCTGGTTACCAAAGTCTGAATTAAAATTTAGAAGTGAGGGGCTAATTTTCCCTATTCCTACTTTTCTCCAAACTATTTTGGGCCCAAAGTTGTAAGTCTAACAGTCTCATAATGGCAACTTACATTTTCTTGTTTATAAAACATCACTAACTCATTTCCACCTTATGATAAAAGATCACAATCTACCTTCCTCAATACTTTTTTAGATTAAAGAGTTTTAGTTGATTCTTAAGTTAATTAATTTTAAAATGTAACTAGAATTTTGTTTTGCTTATATGGTTTGTTTTTTACTATTTCATATAGATTTCTACACAAACCTGAACTTTCCTATGCTTGAGAATTTCTCTGATAAAACTGAACTTTAACTGAGATGATAAATCTTACAAACTAGTAATTATTATTCTGCAGTGGGTTACTTGGGGATTGACCATGTACAAATTCTTTATCATTTTTCATTTATTACCATTTAAATGTCTCATTTACCAATCACATTAGTGATTAGTGATTTATTTTATTGTACTTTACTAGAATAATTTCTATTTTATTTGGAAAATGAAATAAAATTGTGCCAAGTTAATATTTATGATATGCGTTCCCCACCTAAAACTAATAAATTCATTTATTTGATCAAGTGATTTGGGATGCACGCTTCCAGCCAGATATAGCTAAGAACAAAAATCAGTAAAAGTGAAAGTTAGGGAGATGAACTTGCTGAAAAATACCAATATTTGATGGAGTTTATAAGAACAATGTGCAAGGGCAAGACTGGAGACATCATTTTTTGATATAAAAATTAACAAGTCAAATAATATGTACCTCCACCATGAATAAGCCCCTTAACCTCAAAAACATTTATTTTCATAGCCTTCGGAAGGGATAATAATAATACATGCCCTAATTCCCTTGATTGGGAGGAAATAATAAGTGTGGACGCATGTTGGAAACAATGAATCCTTATGGACATCTGCTTATTCAAAAATCATTCATTGAAGTTCACTGCCTTATAAGCCTGGTCCTTGTTGCCCAGGACACACTGATACACAAGAAGAGCATAACCAGTACTGAGGTGAAGCTTCTAGCCCAGCAAACTCAGGCAGTCATGATGGAGTAAGAAGTATCCGTATTTTAATCAACTCATTTCCATTTGAACTAAATAAAAATCTCAGATAATATAAAAATGTAAATAAAGCACAGTACATATAAGAATGTGTACTGTGCTATAATATATAACATATCATTAGGCATTTTTTAAGTTTATCATTGTTAATGTTTATGAGCAATTATCTATGTAAATTTCATGACATAAAAATTCACATCTTTTATGTCAGTGATATATTTATGTAGGGATTTTTATTTGTAAGTGTCTAGAAAATGCAATATATTAAAAACTGTAGCTGAGCTCTCCTGAATAGAACATCAGCTTTTCATTGGAGAGTTGAGGACTTTTCTCCACCAAGGCTGAACCTCACTCCTATGCGCCTTTGGTTCGGAGGCAGTGCAGTCAGTAAGTGAACCAATTGTCTACATGGTATTTATGACTCATGGTCAGAACGAGTAGTCAAGTGGAAACTAATGAAAAGAATTCTAGCAGCTCTAATGTTCTGATTTATGTCCTTTCGCTAATAGCTTAATATTTCCTGGCGTGCGCCTGGGAGCAGACAGTCAGTTCAGTGATTTTCTCGATGGACTGGGACCCGCCCAGCTTGTCGGCCGCCAAACCCTGGCCACCCCTGCAATGGGTAAGAGTCATGTTTTCTACAGCAAAACTGGTATTTCCTGGTTGACAAAGTCATTGAAAGTAGAGCAATAGTAGTGCAAGTGAAAAGTAACATTTCAGCTAAGGTGCTGTTAGTTTCAAATGACTGCTCTAATTCCTAATGTATTTTTCTAACTTGAGACATTACACAAAATGAATAAAGTTAATCCTGCTTCTTTGAATTATCAGAAACCCCCCGTAAGATAGGGAGCTTACAATGGACCCAAATGTAGGGTAAATGGTGGGATTTCACACTGTGGAAAAAAGGAAGGATTATCCAGTAAAGAAGGTTGGTATAAATGTTTAATTATGTAAAGTAATGAAATTGCCCTCCTACTTCAAAACTTTAAATAATGTTTTGACTAAATTGTAAAGAGAAATAAGGGGTGGAGAAAGATACTGAAAAATGCTGAAAGACACTTCAGGGGATGTTTGTTCTCTCGGTGTGGGAAGAATTTCTGAAGGGTTAAACCAAAGCCAGATAAATTGAAAATGTAGCACAATGCACCCTAAATGAAGTATAAAGAAAGATAACGAAGGGAGAAAATGAGATGTAGCCTGTGCAGTAGTATTTCCCGACGCACATGAGATTCCGGTCTGACCGGGCCCATGGAGCACTCGGGAAACCCCGTGAGAGCGGGTCCACCCAGAGGCGCGTCGTCATGGAATCCACAGCAGCAGGAGTTAGTAGAAATCCTCCAGGTTTCCCACGAGGATGATTCCACAGGAAGCTACCAAGATCAGATGTTCATTGGACTCTTCAGTAACACTGGAAGCTGGAAGACTTCCGAGCATTACCTTCAAAATTCTGAATAACAATTGATTTCCAGTACAGAATTTGATAGCCAGCAAAATTTTCAAGTAAGTTTAAGGCTAGAATAAATAAACACTCGGACAGGAAAGTCTCAAAACATTTACCTCATACCCAGTATTGCTTAGAAAGCTAGTGGAGGATATGCTGCCACAAAATGGATAAAGTGAACTTTAAAAATTGTGAGCCAAAATGAGAAGATGAGATCCAGTAAATAAATGTGTCAGCCCCTGAGAAACGAATGGGCAGTGAAGGAAAATGTGGAGACAGCAGCCCAGCAAAGCTTTCAAAGCAATTTGTCCAAATCGAAGCAGGTCAGATTTCGTAAGATAAAATCCGTAGAATGCCCAATAGATTTGATTTCATGGAAGAGGTAAGCAGCCAGGACAGAGTAAGGGGTTGAATTAGGGATATGTACACACAAATGTAGATAAACACTTTCTTAAAAGGCACTTACTAAGTGCAGGGAAAAGGACGAGCTGTTCAAGAAACTGGAAGTACTAAGCACAGTATTGCAGTTCGCGCAGCTAGAAATAATGTTACTGATCATAATAGTACAAATATTAACACTGGGGGAGAGGGGTGATTGACAGGGTGCGGTGTGTGTGGGGGGTGATAGAGAAGAGTTAATAATAATATCTGAAGCAGAAACATAGGATATTACAAGAATAGTATTTAGAGATATGGGGGCAAATGTCAAAAAGTAAAACATAGATAAAAATTTTCAAAGCAGTGACTGTTGGAAGCCAGGAAGTTGGCAGGGAGAATAGGGATCTTTTATACTAATAAAAAGTCTTATAGAAAAGTTGGGCTCATTAAAGTATGTGTATATGTGATTAAAACGGAAACAAACAGACCAAGAGACCTCTGAGAGCTGAGATCTAAAACAGAACTACAAAACTGATGAACAACCCAGAACCACAAAGTTGACCAACTGACCTGACAAATACAGAGAATTCACAACTAAAAATTAGAGATGACTGAACTAACTAAAAATAATGGAGGCATAATTACATTTAACATGTTCAGAGACAAAGCATCACATCCATCAGAAAAAGAACATCTTATTAAACATGGGTAGAGGACATGAAGGCAAGGCAGAAGAGAAGGAATACAAATTGAAAACACTTAGAAATATATTCAGCCTTCCTAGTAATCAAGGAAATGCAAATTACAACTTTTTAACCCTCAGGTTGGCAAACATCAGATGTGTTGCTAATAGCACTATTAGTGGGCTGTAATATTTCTGGTGACAGTGAAAACTGGCACAGTCTTCCTGAAGGGTATTTGTGAATGTGCATGGGATTTTTGAATGCCTGTTCAATTAGACCGAGTAATTAAAAATCTGGGAATTTATGCTCAAGAAATAATTGACCAAGTGTGTGAAAATTCCTTATAAAGTTATTCATGATAGTGCTGTCTATAATACCAACAATGTAGATAATTGTATTTCCATCAACAGGGATGTGGTTAAATAGGTAATTGCATGCCTATTTAGTGGTCTGTACAATCAATACATTGAGGATATGTGGTCATAATAGCTAGATAGATAGTTAAGAAGGAAGAGAGGAAGTATGGGAAAGAGAAAAGTACTTATGACATTACTAGGATATTCACCAAAACACTAATGGTGATTTCTCTAGGTAATAGAAATATAGATAAATTATGGTTTTTATTAAGAAATATTACATGCTAAATGACATAAGGATAAGAAATCTTATTAGAGTACAAGAATCACTTAAGTATCTCAGTATTATTGTCATTAAGCAATTTATAAAATAATATGGGGCTCTTTCAACACAGGTTAGTACCAGAAATATAAAGAGAAACATTTCAAAACCTGATTTGAAGGCAGGGAGAGAAGGGTGGGCTTGGAGGGCTCTAAATATTAATTTTGTCGGGACCCTAAAGACCATAGTTTGGAGCCTGTTATGCACCTCTATTTTTAACTGCATGCAATTGCAAAGAAGCTGAAACCCTCTGCTTCCCATCCCCTTGTAGGCGATATACAAATTGGAATGGAGGATAAAAAGGGCCAGTTAGAAGTCGAAGTTATCAGAGCCCGAAGCCTCACGCAAAAGCCTGGTTCCAAATCGACACCTGGTAAGGAGAGAGGTTTGGACAAGAAAACCTTGCACAGGCGAAAAACTCAAAACGTTTGCTGCACTGGAATCTTGTGTGCTCCGTCTTTTGTCATCTAATTGAGTAAAAGTGCAGCTTTTCCGTGTTCTTCGATTCTGTAAAAATGGAACTTTGCACAATTACTCTGTCAGAAAGTATTAGGAATAATGTCGTATTAAGAAATGTTTAGTTACGACTGTTTCTTACTTTGTATCAATTTTTATACAGTTACAAATGCAAAAGAAAAAAATTAGTTCTAATATCAAAAGGAAGCAATGAGCTTTAAGATATAAACCTGAATTGTTATTGCAGCTATACCCCAAGTAAGTCAAAGTCTTATGACTTTGCCTACATTTATTTGAAAGGAGGAAAATGGTGGTAATAGTAACATACAGGAGTTAAAGAGTAGAATTCATGAAGCACTGGAAATTTCAAATGATTTAAATATTCTGTGGAAAACTTTCAATAAGTATCTCTAAATCTCTAATAAGACATCCTCAAATAAAATCAATTTTACGTAAAGGACTAACATCTTCTATGTTAATACTACCTTTTAGCTCCATACGTCAAAGTGTATCTTTTGGAAAACGGGGCCTGTATAGCTAAGAAGAAGACCAGAATTGCACGGAAAACCCTTGATCCTTTGTATCAACAGTCCCTGGTTTTTGACGAAAGTCCACAGGGTAAAGTTCTTCAGGTCAGTAATAGTTTCGTTACGTTTTACACTGCAAATCCACATGGTCCATGTGAGCACTGAAGAAGTGGTCAAACTGGAAGAGAATGAAGTTCAGTAGGGAGAAATGTGATATGACATCCTTGAGTGGGAAGAATAACAAATCATTGGTTTACAACACAATAATGTATTGCATTAAAAAATATATAGGGATTTATCCATTTTTGACAGTGGGATGTTAAAATCCCCTACTATAATTTAATGGGATTTAATGGAAAACAAAATTTTTATTTTGTCCCTCCCTTCTTTTCTTCCTTTTCTCTATCCTGTCCTCTAGTTTTGCCCTATTTTATACCCCTTGCCCCTTCTTGAGAGATGATGGTGATGATAGATGATAGATAGATAGATATCAAGGTAAGTGATGCTAATAATAGCTTATTGAGCATTATTATGTGCCAGACATGGGGTGCAAAAAGGAAGAAAAGAAGGGAAAGCACAAGTGGGCAGGGACCAGAGAATATTCAGGACTGGTTGAACGTCGGGTACGTTATTAGGTGCATATGTGCATTACCTCTTTTAAAAATTGTAACCACCATGTGCAATAAATATCACCATCTCCATCCTAAAGATGGTGTCTCTGGACCACAGAGATTAAGTGATAGGCAACGTTACTCGATAAATTGAAAAGGCAAGATTCTCCGCCCCTGCCTGTATAAAGCCGGAGAACACGTTAGGCTGAGGAGTACTGGGACATGGAGGCGGGAGTCGGTGTGACGGATGCTTGTCTGGCCCCAAAAGGTACTGACCCAGAGTGTGAGTGAGCTCACTGATGTATTAGTCATCTGACCAAATCAAAATTGGCAGGCAAGTTCTCACAAAACATAGCTTACAATTATGTTGAAACTGCCCCTTGACTAACAAGTCCGTAATGTAACATAAATCTAATGAATATTCTCACTCTGTATACATATTCCATCATGCATGCACTCCACTGTGCACTGAGTTGGATTGTTTTGTCCTCCTAGCTCACACAAACTTTAATTTCTCTCCATCACCCTGCACACTGCTCACTAGAGAGTGATTACTAAAGAAGGTGTTGAATTTATCGATAAATAAACTTCTCTATTCATTCTTTTGGTGAAGATTTTTATTTATTTAGTTATTTTTAGAGAAGGGAAGGGAGGGAGAAAGAGGGGGAGAGAAACATCAATGTGTGGTTGCCTCATGCATGCCCCCTACAGGGGACCTGGCCTGCATCCCAGGCAGGTGTCCTGACTGGGAATCCAACCAGCAACCCTTTGGTTCACAGGTGGGCACTCAATCCACTGAGCCTCACCAGCCAGGGCTCTATATTAATTCTTAAGCATGGCTTATATATGTAATACCCCTCACTGACCAGCAAAACATTATTTGCATTCCATCAAATCTAAAAATCATTGTGAAGTGTCTTTTTGAACACCTTAATGTTAGTATCTTCTCATCTAGTCCTCCCCATGGTGTGAGTTATATTCACTTCCTCTCCTTCACTGACTGGCCCACTTCTACAGAATAGTTGCTTTCAAATCTTCTAACATAAAAGAGAGAGAAGTTCAAGTTTTATTGCAATTCTCTGTCTCTGCAGGTGATTGTCTGGGGAGACTATGGCAGAATGGACCATAAATGCTTTATGGGAGTGGCTCAAATCTTGTTGGAAGAACTCGACCTGTCCAGTATGGTAATCGGATGGTACAAATTGTTCCCGCCGTCGTCACTGGTGGATCCCACACTCACTCCCCTAACCCGCCGGGCTTCCCAGTCATCTCTGGAAAGTTCAACTGGGCCTCCCTGCATTCGATCATAGTGAACTCACACCACAGTCATTCCAATACAGCTCTACCTTTCAAGATAATAATTTGAACCAGATATTTCATGATCAAAAGCATTGTTGGAGACAATCAACTTGTGTTTTGCCTGTAGTAGTTTTTCAGTAATGTGTCCCAGTAGTTGTTTCAATCCCAGCTTCGTACGACAGAACAAGGCAGTCTGTGAAATTACAGTAGGAGCCAACGTGCTAGTGAGAGTCACTGATGCTTCTACCACACAGAAAAAGAGAAAACTTCATATTTGCGCACACACACACAGCAAACAGGACGAACTGGAAACTCTCACTCTGTGAAAGTTGTGTTTTACACGTTCCTACACAGGCCACAAGCAGTGTTATTTCCCCCATTGTTTAAGAAGTTTCGTTCTTTTGTGTTTTGTCTCTCTGGGTGTCGTTTGTTGGTTTGGGATTTGTTTTGTTTTTGCTGCGTCTGTTATTTTCACTGGTTTTTGGCTGTGGCATGACAGGCCTCGTGATGCCAACAGAGACCCTTCCTTTCTTTTTCCAAAAGCACCAAAAAAAGGGCTGAAGCGGTCTCTGCAGCACCTGCCCAAAGTGCTCGACAACTAGACAAGGCGAGGCCCGGGAAGGGCTTCCATTTCACCGTTCTTCAAAGTCCTATGTGTCAAACCCGGAAAATGAAGTTATTTTCCAAAACAATCAGAGACTCCCTTTTTTAAGGGAGAATGTATCTGTTTCCATTCTAAAACATTAATTTGTGTTTTCCGTTGTTTTGCATGGGAGACTTTTAAGGAAGTCAATCTGCAATTTATGCTGAGATCTAAAACTGACTGCATAATTGTACTTTGGAAACACTCTTTGCAATGCCTTTTACTTCCTGATGTTTAAAAAATATATATGCTCATGTGTGTGAACCACACTTCTGACTTCCCAAAACGGTGACTAGAAATGGATTTGAGCCTCAGACACTCTCAGCTGCGCCCAGCCATGTCTCCGTGTAGACACAACCATCCGCCCTGGAAAGAGCATGGTATGAGCTGTTCAATATTCCACTGGGAATTCCAGTTGAAACATTCTGCACTAAACTAATGTTTTTATCAAATTTCAGTTTACATTTCTTTGAGATTGATGCAAGCACAAAGCTTGATTTTTTAATGCAAAGTATCTTACTTTTCTGGGGGTGGGAATAAAACAAAGTCAAATTTCAATTTGCATTTTCTTCATCTGAAATTTCCCTTGTGACATTCTGTATCTGTGTTACCTACTGCAGACTCTGCAGGTGCATTGATATGTTTGCCCTCCTTTTATGAGTCGTCCACCTTTTGTGATTACACAGATAGAGCAGCATGACTTGGAACTGTTCAAAGCTGCATGCACGTTTTGTAAAAAAAAATTAAAAACGAAAAAGAAAAGAAACAAAAGGTTATTTAATAATGTATGTTAGTTCCACATAGGCTTGCTTGTATGTTGCATGTACTTGTACAGTTTGCTCGTTAATTACTCTACTGAAATAACCAAGAAATCTAAGCCATCCATTTTTGTTATAGACATTTTGCAGGTTTTTCGCCAGGCTCAATATGCGAGCCTGGGGTGAAATGTCTATAGATGGACTTTATTTTTTACCCTCTGGAAAACGTGATGTAGTATGGACCAAATTCCTTCTAATACATATTTTGGTGTAGATTCCTACTGTGGGGCTGTAACACATGTAGACACTGTGTACACACTAGGTTTTAATCCATAGACATACTGCCTGCACCAAGTGAATTCTTTATCCTTATTTACACACACCAGAGTTACCTGCCCATCACTGCACAGGGCACAGACTGACCACTCACTCTTCACCGTGCTGAGCAGGAAGAACTGAAGCATTGGTGCACTTCTACTAGATTCCGTTCTGTCTTAGTGGCCAACAACCAACTAATTATAATTGGGTAGTATCTTTCTATTTTGACCACTTGTCTTAACACTTCCCTGTGCTTTTAAATGAACTTCCAACTCATGTATGTAAACATGTTTAATAAAATTTACTTTTCATGTCAGTTGGTAGCCATCTGTGTTCTGTGTCTGGCTCAGACATCCACTGTGGGTTCTATGGCGCCACATCGTGGGGAGGGGAGGCTGGGACTTGTTGTCTGCCGCGGGCATCTGGTGACTTGTCACTGCACTACCTGTGTCTTAATCTATGGCCCAAAGGGTACTTTGCATCACGTGCAAGTTTTCACTTTGTCAGCCTGTCTAAGTGAGCACATGACTATACTTCTGAAAAGTGGCATTATTAAAAAACAATAAATCTCAGTAAGAATCAAATGGAAGGTTGTTTTTCTGCTGCTGTGTGAGTGTGCTAATTAAAGCGGCAACTCTGTTGCCCAATTGCCAGATCATTTCAAGTTATATGATGTACCAAAATACTAATTGTCGCATCTGTTGTCAAGGCGTCTGGGTCTTCTGCCCACCTTTTCCTTCTGAACCCCTGACTGATCTGTAAAACCTTACCTTAGAGTTGGTTGATTTAACCAAGCAATACATTAAATCGTCTTCAACATAACCTCAGAAGATATATTATCAAATATAGTAGAGTCTCTAGAAGTGACATGTAAAGAGAAATTACTAGCTTTCTTACTTTAATGTCAGGGTATTTTTCTTCTCCAATAGTGTGTTCATAGATTTCATAATCAGCGTTTTCACAAATGGTTAAGCACGAGTTTCATGTTGCTTGGTCGTAAACTAACCGTTGAGATCCATTTCACACCTTCTGAGAGCCCTTTTTTATAGGCCACACTGGCTTTACCTTTGTAAAGAAAAATACAGCAAATTTCAATATCAAATTTGAGACCATAAAGCAGTTTGGAACGTGTCACTACATCAGTTGCTTAAAGCTTGTGAAACAGTGGCCTGAATTTTCCTCTGAGTCCGCCAGTTGTTTGGTCCACGAGACCCAAAAGTATCTGTTAGACTGGGTCAGCAGGAGACGGAAATAGCTGGCGGGGCCAGTTTCCAACACGGTGGGAGCAGAGCCCGCACAGGCGGGCGGTGGGGCAGCACAGAACAGGCAGGGCGCCGAACCAGGACCCACTGAATGCGGCTCCAGGGTGTTTTCCTAGACAGAAAAGCAGAAATCTCTGCAGGTCAGATAAATCTGCGTTATGATTTCAGGGCCTACAGTGATGAGCAGTAACTGGAGGAAAAGCGATTTTGCTGTCTTCATGGTTTCTTGCTGACCCTGACAACCTACTTTCCGGAAATCCCAGCCTGAGATGTGATCTGATTATACTTAACCAACATCATTAAGGGCTTTGTTGGGTACTAGATATTAAGTACTTGGGATATAAAAATGAAAAAAAAATCACCCTGTCTTAAAGGAGCACTCTACATATTAAGAGAGATCATTATATTTCTAAAATTACAATAACATATTTGATTAGGGCTAGCTACGGGATTATGTTCAATTCTCATAATAGTCTTATGCATTAAATACTCTATGACCGCCACTTCGCATAAAGGATCTGCAGCTTGGCGAAGCTGAGCGAGAGGCCAGTTAGTGATGAAACTGGGATATGAACTAAGGTCTAGATGACCCCAGAGCCTGCCCTGCAACACGCTCTGCATCTTCCAGTCAATGCTGACAGATGAGCTAGATCTTCAAGGATGAAGAGTCCACCAGATGGGGAAGGCCTCTAACCCAGACCATTCTCTTAAGGCAGGTCCTGGCCAACAGAGTTTCTCTAGCACCTGTGCTATTCCCCGGACAGTTGCAGCAATAGGGAAGGGGGCAGGTAACCTCTCCACCCCCTGAAACTGCTGAAGTTTTTCTCTGCTCACCTCCTCCTCTGTGTCCTTCTCTGACTGCAGTCACCCTTTGCACCACCAAACCCCTTGTGTACATCGTCTGCAGCTCAGGAAGAGTATGAGTAAAGGAGACAGAACAAAGTTGTCTTTAGCCAAGCCCAGACTGTGCTTTGGTTCCAAGGTAAAATTATTCTGAGTCCCCAGTCCCTGCTGCATCAGTCGCAAATATCTGCATCGTGGGGTTGAGCTGACAGGCCTGATTCCCAGGCCCGCGGAGCTTTTCAGTCCTCCCGGAGTCAGTCCATATGCTCTCGAAGGGATTGCCTCCAAAACAGGTTCCATGACTCGGCCTCTGTTGGGAACCGCTCTGTCTGGTTTCGGGAATTTTAACTGCCTCCCATGGCTAAGACTGAGTGAGCAGCCTCCGGACTGTGAGCCACTTAGGAGATGAAGCTTGTCTCTAGCAGCAAATGCTGCCTCAGCTTACTCCCCTGCCCCCAAAGCATGGCTGGTTAGTCAGAGATGAGTAAGACTCCTCAGAGGGAGGGCAACCTAAGCCAGACACGATCACTTGGGAGGCCACCACAGAAGGACTCAGTGGGAGGGGGGGGGGTTGTGACAAAGAGGGAGTGATGGACCTTCCCCACCCCTCCCAGGCTATTCTGACATAGCCCAAGTCCCCATTTCCATCTGGGAGAAGTGCTTTCTGGCTCTAATCCACTTAAGCTTAAAAACCTATGATGGGGAAGGTGGTGCAACCCTGTGCTGAAAAGGGCAGATTCCCCAGGTGATCAGGCCTAAGAAAGAATATGTAAAATCCTGTGAAACTTGCTTTGTTTAGAATGCTCTCATTTATTTATTTATTTTTCCTTGTTTTAGAGATTTATTTATTTTTTTATTGATTATGCCATTACATTTGTTCTATTCCCCCCTTCGTTCCCCTCCACCCTGCACACCCCCTCACCCACCATTCCCCCCCCTTTAGTTTATGACCACGTGTCTCAAGTTCTTTAGATTCTGTATTTCCCCTACTATTTTTACCCTCCCCCTATCTATTTTCTACCTATCTATTTTCTGTACCTTCTCCCCTCTTTTCCTCCTCCCACTTCCCTGTTGCTAATCCTCCACGTGATCTTCATTTCTATGGTTCACTTCTGATCTAGCTATCCTCTTAATTTGCTTTTGTTTTAGGTGTGGTTGTTGATAACTGTGAGTTTGCTGTCCTTTCACTGTTCATCTTTTTTATCTTCTTTTTCTTAGGTAGGTCCCTTTAACATTTCATATAATAAGGGCTTGGTGATGATGACCTCCTTTAACTTGCCCTTATCTGAGAAGCACTTTATCTGCCTTCCCCTTCTAAGTAAAAGCTTTGCTGGATAGATCAATCTTGGTTGTAGGTCTTTGGATTTCATGACTTGGAATACTTCTTTCCAGCCCCTTCTTGCCTGTAAGGTCTCTTTTGAGAAATCTGCTGACAGTCTGATGGGAACTCCTTTGTAGGTGACTGTCCCCTTATTTCTTGCTGCTTCTAGGAGTCTCTCCTTCATAGAATGCTCTCATTTAAATGATAAGGGTCCAAGCAAGAGGTTTGTTCCTCAAAGTTTTGTGGCTCTTTAGCTATCTGATGCAGA